CATGGGGCCATATGGACTCTATGGGGTGTCTATAGGGTTATGGGGGGACCTATGGGGCCATAGGGACCTTATGGGGTAGGGATGCGTCCATATATAGGGCTGGGGAGCGTCTATAAGGTCATAACAGGGTCATGGAACCATATAGATCCCATAGAGCTGGGAGGTCCTTATGGGGCCATAGGGACTCCGTGGGGCCAGGGGAGTTCTTATGGGGCAATGGGGTCTCTATAGAGACATGGGGGTTCCTATGGGGTGGGGGGAGCATCTATAGGGCCATAGAGGCTGTAGGGGAGGGTGTCCCTATAGGGTCTCTATAGGTCTGTGTGAGTTCATATGGGGTTCATAAGGGTCCCTATGGAGCTACAGAGCCTCCACAGAGTCACAGGGGTCTCTATGGGGCCATAGGGATTGCATGGGGCAGGGAGGGCTCTATAGGGACCCCAGGGTCTCTATGGAGCATGGGTGGCTCTATAGGTCCAGTGCTATAGAGCCTCTATAGGGCAGGGGGGGTCTCTATAGGGTCTGTGTCCCCCCCCAAGAAAGCGCCCTTGACACCTCCTTGCACCCCCAACCGGGGGCTCTTTATTCCCCCCCCCCATCATCGGCGTCGCCTCCGCACCAGGGTCCAACCATCTGGGGGGGCCGGCGGGGTCCCGCACTCCATTGCCTGGGGGGGGGAAGATAACATCATCAGTGTGACCCCTTTGGTGATATCATCAGTGTGACCCCTTTGGTGACATCATCAGTGTGACCCCTTTGGTGACGTCATCGGTGTGACCCCTTTGGTGACGTCAGTGTGACCCCTTTGGTGACATCAGTGTGACCCCTTTGGTGACATCATCAGTGTGACCCCTTTGGTGACATCAATGTGACCCCTTTGGTGACATCATCAAGGTGACCCCTTTGGTGACATCATCAGTGTGACCCCTTTGGTGACATCATCAGTTGTGACCCCTTTAGTGACATCATCAGAGTGACCCCTTTGGTGACATCATCAGGGTGACCCCTTTGGTGACATCATCAGTGTGACCCCTTTGGTGACATCAGTGTGACCCCTTTGGTGACATCAGTGTGACCCCTTTGGTGACATCATCAGTGTGACCCCTTTAGTGACATCATCAGTGTGACCCCTTTGGTGACATCATCGGTGTGACCCCTTCGGTGACATCATCACTGCCCCCCCCATCCTAGGAGTGTGTCTCCAGTTTGATGATGTCATTACTGCCCTCCCCTCACTGGGGTACCCCCCCTTCAATGACATCACCCATGCCCCCCCCAATGCCCCACCCCATTTGATGACATCATCAACCCCATACACAGCATAGGGAACCCATTCCCCCCATATATCTTGAGGTCCCCATGAATGACATCATCAGCGCTCTCCCAATGACATCATCACCACACGCCACACCCACCAATAGTGACCCCGCCCATTCTATGACATCATCACCCGCCCCTACCTCTTCCTCCTCCTCACTGCTGGTCCCGGGGCTCAGAGGGGCGGGGTCGGGGGCGTGGCCAGAGGCAGGGTCGGGGGCGTGGCCAGGCCGCGCATTGGCCAGCGCGGAGGCGAGGGCGGGGCCACGCCGGGCCAGGGCCGCCAGCGCCTCCCCCACCCCCCCCACGTCCCCCTCCCGCACCCGCGTGAACAGAGACAGCAGCTCCCGGCTCACCTGCGGGGGGAACGGGAGAGACTGGGATGGACTGGGAGAGACTGGGATAGAATCGGATTGACTGGGATAGAATGGGATAGAATAGGATGGACAGGGATAGAATGGGACAGAAGAGGAGAAACTGGAATAGAATGGGATAGAGTGGGATAGAATGGGATAGACTGTGATAGAATGGGATAGTGCTGGGATAGAATGGGGTAGACTGGGATAGAAGAGATTGGGACAGAATGGGATAGAGTGGGATAGGGCTGGAATAGACTGGGATAGCGCTGGGATAGACAGGGATAGTGCTGGGATAGAATGGAGTAGACTGGGATAGAATGGTGTAGAATGGGATGGACTGGGATAGGGCTAGGATAGACTGGGACAGAATGGGATAGAGTGGGATAGACCGGGATAGAATGGGATGGACTGGGATAGAACGGGATAGGGCTTAGACAGAATGGGACAGATTGGGATGGAACGAGATAGCACTGGGATAGACAAGGATAGCGCTGGGATAGAATGGGATAGGACCGGGATGCGACTGGTATAGACAGGGATAGAATGGGATAGCACTGGGATACACTGGGATCGGACTCAGATAGAATGGGATACACAGGCATAGGGCTGGAATAGACAGGGCTAGGGCTGGGATAGAACGAGATGCACTGGGATAGAACGGGATGCACAGGGATAGCACTGGGATAGAACGGGATGCACAGGGATAGCAATGGGATAGACTGGGATAGACAAGGATAGGTATGGGATAGACTGGGATAGAATGTGATAGGGCTGGGATACACTGAGATGGGACTAGCATAGGCAGGGATAGAGCTGGGATACAATGGGATATACTGGAAGGGCAGTGGGTGGGACTGGGATAGACTGGGAGGCATTGGAAGGGGCTATGAGGGAACTGGGAAGGACCTGAAATAGACTAGATGTGCACTGGAAAGGACTGGGATATACTGGGAAGGGAGTGAGATACATTGGAGGGACAGGCCTAGGGAATCATAGGGGGGAATTGGGATAGGATATACTTGCAAGAGCAGGGATACAATGAGAAGGGATGGAGACTGGGATACACTGGGAGGCGCTGGGATATACTGGGGTGGGACTGGGATATACTGTGAGAAAACTGGTTTATACTGGGAGGGGAATGGGAGCACTGCAGTGCATCACCAAGGGCCTGGGGATCCACCGGGCTGTACTGGGAGTGACTCAGGAAGGGCCTGAACGCTTCTTGTGAGGAACGGGAAGGCTACTGGTTATACTGGTTTATACTGGGAGGCTCTGGGGTGCACCAAGAAGGGATGGGGGGTGCTGAGAGAGGCCTGGGAGCACTAAAGGATGGTTGGAAGAGCCTGGGGGGGGATCTGAACTGTACTGGGGTGGCAAGGGGTGGAACTGGGAGCCTCCTGGTCCATACTGGTCTGTACTGGTACATACTGGGCTGTACCTGCTGCAAGCTGCCGTCCTCCACAGCCGTGTCGAACTCATTGTCCATGACCTCGGCCAGGAAGTCTTCCACCTCATCCTCGGCCAGTTCAGCTGGGGGGCGGAGGAAACGGGGGTACTGGGAAGGAGGCAGCCCCAGTGCCCTCCCAGTGCATCCCAGTCCTGCTCAGCCCCCTCCCAGTGCCCCCCAGTGCCCTCCCAGTCCATCCCAGTTCCCTTCACCCCTCTCCCAATGTCCTCCCAGTCCATCCCAGTGCTCTTCATCCCTCTTCCACTGCCCCCAATGCCTCCCAGTCCATCGCAGTGCCCTCCATCCCTCTCCCAATGCCCTCCCAGTCCATCCCAGTGCCCTTCATCTGTCTTCCACTGTCCCCAATGTCCTCCCAGTCCATCCCAGTGCCCTCCATCCCTCCCCCAATGCCCTCCCAGTCCATCCCAGCTCCCTTCATCCCCCTCCCATTGCCCCCGCCCCGCCCCCCCCCGCACTCACGGTTCTGGCTCAGGAACTCCAGCACCGCCCCCACCAACCACGCGGCCTTCTCGGGGCTCTGTGGGCCCCCGAAGCCCTGCGCCACGGCCAACTGCGGGGCACGGACACGGTCACCCGTGGGCCTTGGGGTCCCCAACCTCCCCCCCTCACCCCCGTTCTCCCCCGTTCCCCCCCGTTCCGCACCTGCAGCGCGGCCCAGCCGCTCAGCACCGCCCGCACACCGCGCTCCAGCAGCGCCCGCTCCTCCGCGCTGGGCGCCGCCATTGCGACGCCCCCGCAGGGCCCGCGGCCGAGCGCCGAGCGATCGATCGGGCGCCGAGCGAGGGAGCGCAAGCGCCGGGGAGGGGGCGAGACCAATGGAGCGCCGAGTAATCGATCGCCGCGCCCAATCGAGCGCCGAGTGATCGATCGCGCCGCCGACGGCCGCAGCGAGCCGACGCCGGGTGCCACAATCGAGCGCCGAGTGCCCGATCGAGGGGCGTGGCCAACGGCGGCGGCCTGAGAGGACTCCAGCTCCCGGCAGCCCCCCCGCGGCCGCGGTCACGTGACGCAGGTGCGCGGGAGGGGCGGGGGGAGGGAGGGGAGCGGGACGGTGGGGCTGGGGGGGGCGGGGGGGGGAAATGGGGGGTGATGGGGGCGCAGGGGTGGGGGGGTATGGGGGCTATAGGGGCTGCTATAGGGGATAAGGGCTCTACAGGGGCTGCTATAGGGGATAACAACGGCTCTATAGGGGCTATAAGGGATAACAACGGCTCTATAGGGGCTATAGGGGCTGGGGGGTGCGCTTCGGTTCTAAGGGGGTGGGGGGCATGGGGGGGCTATAGGAGATATGGGAGCTATAGGGTATGAGGGGGTGCACGGGGGCTATAGGAGCTGGGGGGGGCTATAGGGGATGAGAGGGCACACGAGGGCTATAGGGGATATGGGGGGGTGGGAGAACATAGGGACTTTAAGGGCTATTGGAGTATATAGGGGCTGTGGGGGGGTCTATGGTGTGTAGGGCGCGTAAGGGTTATAGAGACAATTGGGGGTTTATATAAGGGGGCTATAGGGGGTGTGGGGCACACAGGGGCTATTGGGGGCAGGGTATAGAGCTATGGGGGGGTATATATATAGGTATATGTGTGTGTGTATGCATGTGTACATAAATGATGCCTAGAGGGTCTATAGGGCACCTATAGAACGGGTGGGGGGGTGCTTATCTAAGGCACCCATAGGCTCTATAGGGGGCTCAACCCCCCCTTAACAACCCCTCTTTATCCCAACAGGTCCCCCCATGGGGGGGGGGCTGACACCACCCCCACCTCCATTGACACCCCCAAAACACCATTGAGGACCTCCCCTCCCCCTCCCCCCCAAACTCCCCTATAGCTCCATAGGGGGAACAACCCCCCACATATTGAGGTCTATAGAAGCCAACCATGGCCACGGACTCGCCCCCCCCCAAAACCCCCCCATCCCCCCCAAAACGCTTCTTCCGCAAGAGCGTGGAGCTGCTGGAAGAGGACCGGGGCCCCCCCAGTGATGGAGGGGACCAAGAGCCCCGGGGGGGGGATCCCGGGGGTGGGGGGGTCCCGGGTAGGGAGGAGGTGGAGGAGGAGGCGGAGATGAAGGCGGTGGCGACGTCGCCGGGGGGGCGGTTCCTCAAGTTCGACATCGAGCTGGGCCGCGGCGCCTTCAAGAGCGTCTTCAAGGGCTTCGACACCGACACCTGGGTGGAGGTGGCCTGGTGCGAGCTGCAGGTGAGGGCCTGCATGGGGTAAGGGGGTAAAGGGGGGGGGGTTTGGTTGTTGGGGTTGGGAGGTCATGGGGGAGGCGATGGTGGAGGTGTTAGGTTGAGCGTGAATGCGCTTGTGTAGGTAAGGAGGGGCACAAAGGCGGCGTGGACCCAATGGTTGAGGTCTTAGGTTGAGCATGAACCCCCCTTCTGATGACCCCAAAGTCATCATAGACTCAATGGTTGAGGTCTTAGATTGACCCTGAACCAACTTCCAAAGACCCCAAACTCATCATGGACCCAATATTTGAGGTCTCAAATTGAGGTTGAACCCACTTGCAATGACAAGGAGACCCCAGATTCATCATGGACCCCATGGTTGAGGTCTCAGATTCAGGTTGAACCCACTTAAAATGACAGGGAGAGCCCAAAGTCATCATGGGGCCAATGGTTGAGGTCTCAGATTGAGGTTGAACCCAGTTACAATGACAAGGAGACCCCAAATTCATCATAGAGCCCATACTTGAGGTCTCACATGGACCCTGAACCCCATTCCCAAGGCAAGGAGACCCCAATGAATCCCTGATGCTCCCAACTCCATCACCCCCATGTCGGAGGCACAGAGCCCCAGCCCACGAATCCCATCCCCTTCCTGCCCCCTCAATGCTCCATGGGGGACTCAACGGAGCTTCGAGGTTGGCCAAAGCTCACCCATTGCATTGGGGGGGGAGATGCTCCTTGGCTATGGGGTGGTTTGAGGTTGTGCCATGGCCTCCAGGACCGCAAGCTGACCAAGGTGGAGCAGCAGAGGTTCAAGGAAGAGGCTGAGATGCTCAAGGGGCTGCAGCACCCCAACATCGTCCGCTTCTACGACTCCTGGGAGTCCACAGTCAAGGGCAAGAAGTGCATTGTCCTGGTCACCGAGCTGATGACCTCGGGCACCCTCAAGACGTGAGTGATGGGGGGCATGGAATGGGGTGGGAAGGACCTGGACATCAATGGTTGAGGTCCTACATTGACCCTGAACCCCTTCCAAATAGAGGATACCCCAAGTTCATCATGGACCCAATGGTTGAGGACTCACATTGAGCCTGAACCCCCTTCCAAAGAGAAGGAGAGCCCAAAACCATCATAGACTCAGTGGTTGAGGTCTCACATTGAGCCTGAACCCCCTTCCAAAGAGAAGGATGCCCCAAGTTCATCATAGACCCAATGGTTGAGGTCTCAGATTGACCCTGAACCCCTTCCAAAGGGAAGGAGACCCCAAAACCATCATAGACCCAATGGTTGAGGTCCCGCATTGAGCCTGAACCCCTTTCCAAAGGCAAGGATACCCCAAGTTCATCATAGACCCAATGGTTGAGGTCTCACATTGACCCTGAACCCCCTTCCATAGAGAAGGAGACCCCAAAACCATCATAGACCCAATGGTTGAGATCTCACATTGAGCCTGAACCCCTTTCCAAAGAGAAGGAGACCCCAAAACCATCATAGACTCAGTGGTTGAGGTCTCACACTGAGCCTGAACCCCCTTCCAAAGACAAGGATACCCCAAGTTCATCATGGACTCAATGGTTGAGGTCTCACATTGACCCTGAACCCCTTCCAAATAGAGGAGACCCCAAAACCATCATAGACCCAATGCTTGAGGTCCCACATTGAGCCTGAACCCCTTTCCAAAGACAAGGATGTCCCAAGTTCATCATGGACCCCATGGTTGAGGTCTCAGGTTGACCCTGAACCCCCTTCCAAAGAGAAGGAGAGCCCAAAACCATCATAGACCCAATGGTTGAGGTCTCACATGGAGCCTGAACCCCTTTCCAGAGACAAGGATACCCCAAAACCATCATGGGGGCAATGGTTGAGGTCTCACATTGAGCTTGAACCCACTTCCATAGACAAGGAGGCCTCACATTCATCCTGGACCCCATGGCTGAGGTCTCCCATTGAGCCTGAACCCCATTCCAAGGAGAAGGAGACCCCAAAACCATCATGGGGGCAATGGCTGAGGTCTCACATTGAGGTTGAACCCAGTTACAATGACATGGAGAGCCCAAAGTCATCATAGACCCCACGGGTGAGGTCTCCCATTGAGCCTGAACCCCATTCCAAGGAGAAGGAGACCCCAAAACCATCATAGACCCAATGGCTGAGGTCTCCCATTGACCCTGACCCCCTCCCAGGTACCTCAAGAGGTTCAAGGTGATGAAGCCCAAGGTGCTGCGGAGCTGGTGCCGGCAGATCCTGAAGGGGCTCCACTTCCTGCACACCCGGACCCCCCCCATCATCCACCGGGACCTCAAGTGTGACAACATCTTCATCACGGGCCCCACCGGCTCCGTCAAGATCGGGGACCTGGGCTTGGCCACGCTCATGAGGACCTCCTTTGCCAAGAGCGTCATTGGTGAGCCCCGGTGTGCCCAATGGTGATGGGGGGGGGGGGTGGTGGTGATGGTGGTGGTGGTGGTGGTGATGGTGGTCATGGTAATGATGATGCTGGTGTTGGTGATGGTGATGGTGCCGATGGTGATGGTGGTGGTGATGGTGATGGTGGTGGTGGTGGTGATGGTGTTGGTGCCGATGGTGATGGTGGTGGTGGTAATGGTGATGGTGGTGGCGATGGTGATGGTGGTGGTGGTGTTGGTGATAGTGATGGTGGTGATGGCGGTGGTGATGGTGATGGTGGTGATGGTGGTGGTGGTGATGGTGATGGTGATGGAGGTGATGGTAGAGATGATGGTGATGGTGGTGATGGTGGTTATGTTGGTGGTAGTGGTGCTGGTGATGGTGATGGTGGTGATGGTGGTGGTGGTTATGTTGGTGGTAGTGGTGCTGGTGATGGTGATGGTGGTGATGGTAGAGACGATGGTGATGGTGGTGATGGTGGTGGTGGTTATGTTGGTGGTAGTGGTGCTGGTGATGGTGGTGATGGTGACGGCGGTGGTGTTGGGTTCCTGCCTCTCACCACCCCTATCCCATAGGGACCCCCGAGTTCATGGCCCCGGAGATGTATGAGGAGCGCTACGACGAGTCGGTGGACGTCTACGCCTTCGGGATGTGCATGCTGGAGATGGGCACCTCCGAGTATCCCTACTCCGAGTGCCAGAACGCGGCGCAGATCTACCGCAAAGTCACCAGCGTGGGTCGCCGGGGGGGTAGTGGGGGGGGCATCCTCACGGTGGTGGCATCGTCATTGTGGTGGCATCGTCATGGTCGTGGTGGCATCGTCATGGTCGTGGTGGCATTGTGGTGGTGGTAGCGTCATGGTCACGGTAGCGTTACCATGGTGGCATCATCGTTGCGTTGGCGTTGGCATTGTAGTGGTGTCATCTTGGTGTTGGCATCATCGTGGTGGTGGCATCATCGTGGTGGTGGCATCATGGTGGTGGCATCATCGTGGTGGTGGCTTCATGGTGGTGGCATCATCATGGTGGTGGCATCATCATTGTGATGGTATCTTCACCACCATAGCATCATCACAGTGGTCCCATCATCATTGTGGTGACATCTTCACCATCATATCATCATCACGGTGGTCCCATCATCATTGTGGTGGCATCTTCATCACCATAGCATCATCACAGTGGTGCCATCGTCATTGTGGTGGCATCTTCACCATCATAGCATCATCACGGTGGTCCCATCGTCATTGTGGTGGCATCTTCACCATCATAGCATCATCACAGTGGTCCCATCGTCATTGTGGTGGCATCTTCACCATCATAGCATCATCACAGTGGTCCCATCATCATTGTGGTGACATCTTCACCATCATAGCATCATCACAGTGGTGCCATCGTCATTGTGGTGGCATCTTCACCCCCATAGCATCATCACTGTGGTTCCATCATCATTGTGGTGGCATCTTCACCACCATAGCATCATCACAGTGGTCCCATCATCATTGTGGTGACATCTTCACCATCATAGCATCATCACGGTGGTCCCATCATCATTGTGGTGGCATCTTCACCACCATAGCATCATCACGATGGTCCCATCATCATTGTGGTGGCATCCTCACCACCATAGCATCATCATGATGGTCCCATCATCATTGTGGTGGCATCTTCACCATCATAGCATCATCACGACGGTCCCATCATCATTGTGGTGGCACCTGCACCACCATAGCATCATCACGATGGTCCCATCATCATTGTGGTGGCATCTTCACCACCATAGCATCATCACAACGGTCCCATCATCATTGTGGTGGCATCTTCACCACCATAGCATCATCACAGTGGTCCCATCATCATTGTGCCGGTGACATCATCCCCGCGGTGCCCCCATCCCGGTGCTGTCCCCACCGCACCGGTTCCCCCCCCCCCACAGGGCATCAAACCAGCCAGCTTCTCCAAGGTGACCGACCCGGAGGTGCGGGACATCATCGAGGGCTGCATCCGGCAGAACAAGGCCGAGAGGTGGGCGATGACCCCCTCTCTATGAGGGTGCTTGGGTCCCCCGTTCCCATAGGGGTGCTGAGCGCACCCCGGCCCCCCCAGGTTGTCCATCAGGGACCTGCTGAACCACGCGTTCTTCGCCGAGGACACGGGGCTGCGCGTGGAGCTGGCCGAGGAGGCGGTGGGGCCCGAGCCCTGCCTCGCGCTGCGCCTCTGGGTGGAGGACCCCAAGAAGCTCAAGGGCAAGCACAAGGACAACGAAGCCATCGAGTTCAGCTTCAACCTGGAGGCCGATGTCCCCGAGGAGGTGGCCTATGAGATGGTGAGGGGGGGATGGGGAACTCCGTGGGGCAAGGGAGAACATCAGTGGGGTTGGTGGCGTCTGCTTGGCTTGAGCCCCCCTGAAGGTCCATAATGGTTGAGGTTGGTCCTTCAGGAGCTGGAACCTATTACAAAGTCAATGGCACCCATAAATACACCCATAAACCCTTCATTGGGAGCCTCAACCTCATCTTGAACCCTTCCAAAGCCAATGGCACCCATAAATACACCCATAAACCCTTCATTGGGAGCCTCAACCTCACCTTGAACCCTTCCAAAGCCAATGGCACCCATAAATACACCCATAAACCCTTCATTGGGAGCATCAACCTCCCCTTGAACCCTTCCAAAGCCAATGGCACCCATAAATACACCCATAAACCCTTCATTGGGAGCATCAACCTCACCTTGAACCCTTCCAGAGCCAATGGCACCCATAAATACACCCATAAACCCTTCACTGGGAGCCTCAACCTCATCTTGAACCCTTCCAAAGCCAATGGCACCCATAAATACACCCATAAACCCTTCACTGGGAGCCTCAACCTCATCTTGAACCCTTCCAAAGCCAATGGCACCCATAAATACACCCATAAACCCTTCATTGGGAGCATCAACCTCACCTTGAACCCTTCCAGAGCCAATGGCACCCATAAATACACCCATAAACCCTTCACTGGGAGCCTCAACCTCATCTTGAACCCTTCCAAAGCCAATGGCACCCATAAATACACCCATAAACCCTTCATTGGGAGCCTCAAGCTCATCTTGAACCCTTCCAAAGCCAATGGCACCCATAAATACACCCATAAACCCTTCATTGGGGTCCTCAACCTCATCTGAGACCCTCCTAAAGCCAATGGCACCCATAAATACACCCATAAACCCTTCACTGGGAGCCTCAACCTCATCTTGAACCCTTCCAGAGCCAATGGCACCCATAAATACACCCATAAACCCTTCATTGGGAGCATCAACCTCCCCTTGAACCCTTCCATCCCAATGCCCCTCCCACCGCCCCCATCGGTTGCCGCTGTCCTTGGTGCTGAACCGCCTTTCCCATCACCTCCCCTTTCCCAGGTGAAATCCGGCTTCTTCCATGAGAGCGACTCCAAGGCCGTGGCCAAATCCATCCGGGACCGCTTGGCCGTGGTGCGGAGGAGCCGGGAGCGGAAGCAGGCCGAGGGTCGGGGTCCCCCCGAGAGCGAGGACACCGAGGTGGATCAGCACGTACGGCAGCAGCTGCTGCGGCAGCACGGTGAGAGCGCATGGGGTACGCCATGGACAGCCATTGGCCATCCCGTGGGATCACCATTGGCCACACTATGGACAGCCATTGGACATCCCGTGGGATCCCCATTGCCCACACCATGGACAGCCATTGGACATCCCGTGGGATCCCCATTGGCCATCCCGTGGGATCCCCATTGGACACCCCATGGGATCCCCATTGGCCACACCATGGACAGCCATTGGACATCCCGTGGGATCCCCATTGGCCATCCCGTGGGATCCCCATTGGACACCCCATGGGATCCCCATTGGCCACACTATGGACAGCCATTGGACATCCCGTGGGATCCCCATTGGACACCCCATGGACAGCCATTGGCCATCCCATGGGATTCCCATTGGCCACACCATGGGATCCCCATTGGCCACACTATGGGATACCCATTGCCCACTCTATAGGATCCCCATTGACCACCTATGGGATCCCCATTGACCACCTATGGGACCTCCATTGCCCACCCTATGGGATCCCCATTGACCACCCTATGGCATCCCCATTGGCCACCCTATGGGATCCCCATTGCCCACCCTATGGGATCCCCATTGACCACCCTATGGCATCCCCATTGACCACCCTATGGGATCCCCATTGGCCACCCCATGAGATCCCCATTGCCCACCCAATGGGATCCCCATTGCCCACTCTATGGGATACCCATTGCCCACTCTATAGGATCCCCATTGACCACCTATGGCATCCCCATTGACCACCCTATGGCATCCCCATTGGCCACCTCATAGGACCCCCAATTCCCACCCCATGGGACACCCATTGGCCTTCCCGTTGGACTCCCCATTGGCCACCCTATGGCATCCCCATTGGCCACCCCATGGGACATCCATTGGCCATCCCATTGGACCCCCATTGCCCACCCCATGTGACCCCCATTGCCCACCCCATTGAGCCCCCATTGCCCACCCCATTGAGCCCCCATTGCCACCCCATTGAGCCCCCATTGTCCACCCCATTGGACCCCCCATTGCCCACCCCATTGAGCCCCCATTGCCCACCCCACTGAACCCCCATTGCCCACCCCATGGGACCCCCATTGCCCACCCCATTGAGCCCCCATTGCCCACCCCATGTGACCCCCATTGCCCACCCCATTGAACCCCCATTGCCCACCCCATGTGACCCCCATTGCCCACCCCATTGAGCCCCCATTGCCCACCCCATGGGACCCCCATTGCCCACCCCATTGGACCCCCCATTGCCCACCCCACTGAACCCCCATTGCCCACCCCATTGAGCCCCCATTGCCCCCCATTGAGCCCCATTGCCCCCCATTGAGGCCCCATTGCCCCTATTGAGCCCCCATTGCCCACATTGAGCCCCCATTGCCCACCCCATTGGACCCCCATTGCCCACCCCATTGAGCCCCCATTGCCCACCCCATTGAGCCCCCATTGCCCACCCCATGCCTGGTGGTCTCCCATCACCGCTCACCCCTTGGCTGCCCCTCAGCAGCCGAGGGGCTCTCGGACACCGGACCCATGGCAGATGCCACCAGCAGCCGTGGTCCCCTTGGGTGCTACCAACCAGGCCCCCCCCAAGATGGGGCACCCCCTCCTTGCGCCCCCCACGTCCCATTGCAGGTGGGTCCCGGTTGCGCCGGCGCCGTGGGGTGGGGACAAGGGGGTCAGGTCCCATTGCCCTGCTTTGCCCCATAGGTGGAGGGGACATCGATGGACGTCACCGGAGGTGCCACCGTGGTGGGGCTGGAGCCCCCCACTGGGGACGGGGAACTGGGGGTGACGCGGAGCTGGGGGATGGCACCCATGGGGGTGGCACGGCCACAACCGGCACCGGGGGCACCAGGGCCTGGGATGGCAGCAGCAGGTATTGGAATGGCAGCATTGGGTACTGGGGTGCTGCCATTGGGTACTGGGATGCCACCACCAGGTACCGGGATGCCACCATTGGGTACTGGGATGCCACCATTGGGTACTGGGGTGCCACCATTGGGTACCACGATGCCACCATCAGGTACCGGGATGCCACCAGTTACTGGGATGCCACCACCAGGTACTGGGATGCCACCACCAGGTACCGGGATGCCACCAGGTACTGGGATGCCACCATTGGGTACTGGGATGCCATCAGCCCCAGGGATGCCACCATCGGGTACCACAATGCCACCATCAGGTACCGGGATGCCACCATTGGGTACCGGGATGCCACCAGCCTCAGGGATGCCACCAGTTACTGGGATGCCACCATTGGGTACCACGATGCCACCACCAGGTACTGGGATGCCATCATTGGGTACCGGGATGCCATCAGCCCCAGGGATGCCACCAGTTACTGGGATGCCACCATCGGGTACCACGATGCCACCAGCCCCAGGGTTGCCACCAGCCCCAGGGATGCCAGCACCAAGTGGGAAGCCACCAGGCCAAGGTGGTCCAGAGATGCCTCCACCAATGGGGATGGCACCGGCTCTACCTGGAATGCCACCAGCATCCATTGGGATGCCACCAGGGCCAGGGATGCCACCTCCACCTGCGATGCCACCAACGATGGGGATGGGACCAGCCCAAGTGATGCCGCCACCCATGGAGATGCCAGCCCCTATTGGGATGCCAGCACCCATTGGGATACCCCCATCCCAAGGGATGCCACCAGCCCCAGGGATGCCACCAACCATGGAGATGCCATGTGCCGTTGGGATGCCTCCTTCCTCAGTCATGCCGCCGTCCATTGGGATGCCACCGGGTCCAGGGATGCCACCTGCATCTGGGGTGCCACCAACCATGGAGATGCCCCCATCCATCGGGATGCCCCCATCCATAGGGATTCCACCACCTATGGAGATGGCTCCAACCATGGAGATGCCACCATCTCAAGGGATGCCACCACCCATAGGGATGCCCCCATCCACAGGGATGCCCCCACCCATGGAGATGCCCCCATCCACAGGGATGCCCCCATCCACAGGGATGCCCCCACCCATGGAGATGCCCCCATCCATAGGGATGCCCCCACCCACAGGGATGCCCCCATCCATAGGGATGCCCCCACCCATGGAGATGCCCCCATCCATAGGGATACCCCCACCCATGGAGATGCCCCCATCCATAGGGATACCCCCAACCATAGGGATGCCCCCACCCATGGAGATGCCCCCCCCCACAGGGATACCCCCACCTCCATCCCTCATCCCACCCCCCATAGAGATCCCACCCCCACCCCCACCCCCCACCTCCACCCCCCTCCCACCCCCCCCCGACCCCCCCTGGCCCCCCCGGACCCCTCCCCCTCCCTGCGCACCCCCGAGGCCTCCCCCACCCCCCCGGACACCGGTGGCCGTGGGGACCGATGGCGCCAGCGCCGCGCTTCCTGCCCGCGGCCCCGCTTCCAGCTCACGGCGCTCCAGGTCAGTGTGGGGCAGGGACAGGGGGGGGTGCGCCCCATAGCCCCCTATGGGGCAGGGTTAGGGGGGGGGGGGGGATGGACACCCCATAAGTGACCTCCACGCAGGTCTCCTCACCGGGGGACAACACCGTCGAGTGCCAACTGGAGACCCACGACTGCAAGATGGTGACCTTCAAGTTCGACGCCGATGGGGACGCCCCTGAGGACATCGCTTCTTATATGGTGACCCCCCCAAAACCTGCACCCCAAAACACCCCAAAACACCCCCCCCAATCCCATCCCCCACCCCAATATTTAACCCCCCCCCCCCCCATGAAGGTTGAGGACAACTTCGTGTTGGAGGCCGAAAGGGAGAAGTTTGTGGAGGAGCTCAAGGGCATCGTGGCGCGGGCGCGGGGGGTCCTCGGTGCCCCCCATGGGGACCCCCAGGTACCCCCTATCCCCCCCCCCCCATTTCAATGTCCCATTTGGGTCATCCCATCCCATCCCCCCCTCCTCCATCCATTGATCAACCCCAATGGGGTCTCCCCATAGGTTGGAGCGATGGAGCCGGTGGTGAGTGGTGAGTGATGGGGAAGGGGGGGGTATGGGGGTGGCAATGGGGGCACCCCAAATCTGAGCACCACCCCCTCCTCATTGACAATAGAAGGGGCCCCCCAATCGTCCCCCGTGGGTCGCTGGAGGTTCTGCATCAATCAAACCATCAGGAACCGGGAGGCCACCGGTGGGTGAAGGGACATGGGGGGGACATTGGGGTCCCCAACCCTACAATGACATCAATGGGGTTGGGATATTGGGGTCCTCAACCCTACAATGACATCAATGGGGTTGGGACGTTGGGGTCCCCAACCCTACAATGACATCAATGGGGTTGGGACGTTGGGGTCCTCAACCCTACAATGACATCAATGGGGTTGGGACAATGGGGTCCTCAACCCTACAATGACATCAATGGGGTTGGGATGTTGGGGTCCCCAACCCTACAATGACATCAATGGGGTTGGGATGTTGGGGTCCTCAACTCTACAATGACATCAATGGGGTTGGGACATTGGGGTCCCCATCCCACAATGGGGTTGGGACATTGGGGTCCCCAACCCTACAATGACATCAATGGGGTTGGGACATTGGGGTCCCCATCCCACAATGGGGTTGGGACATTGGGGTCCCCAACCCTACAATGACATCAATGGGGTTGGGACATTGGGGTCCCCATCCCACAATGCACAATGGGGTTGGGACATTGGGGTCCCCAACCCTACAATGGGGTTGGGGTCCCCCCACTGCAGGTCCTGGGGGTCCCGCAGCCCCTCGCCGAGCCCTGGGCACCTCAGACCTTGGTGGCCCTCAAGCAGCAGCAATGGGGCCGGATGGCGCAGGGCTCCCCACGCCCCATAGCCCAGAGGCTGCCAGCCCCATAGACCATGGGCTCGGAGGCCCTCGAGGTTTTGAGGTACCCCAAGAGGAGGAGGACCCCGAAGGCCGGGAGCTCGGTGCCCCCCAAGGCCCCAGTGCTGGGGAGCCCATGGGGCACTGGGAACAGGGGGGCAGTGAGGCCGGAGCCGGGGACCCCCAGCACCAGGAGCCGGATGGGACCCATGGGGAGGAGGAGGCCGGACCCATAGGACTGGAGGTGATCAGGGCCAGGCCCCCAGTAATGGATGTGCGCCATGGGATGGGGGTGGTCAGTGCTGAACCCCAACCCCTTGGGGTCCCCCATAGACCCCCATGGACCCAGTGCCCCTTGAGGCCCAGAGCACCCCAACCCCTTGCTGCCCCCCCATAGACCCCCATGGACCCGGTGCCCCCCAATGCCCCGAGCACCCCAACTCCTTGGTGCCCCCCATGGACCTGGTGCCCCCCAAGGCCCAGAGCACCCCAAACCCTTGGGGTCCCCCCATAGCCCCCCATGGACCCGGAGCCCCCCAGGTCCCATCGCACCCCAACCCCTCCCTGTCCCCCCATGGACCCGGTGCCCCCCAAGTCCCATCACACCCCAACCCCTCCCTGTCCCCCCATAGCCCCCCATGGACCCGGTGCCCCCCAGGTCCCATCGCACCCCAACCCCTCCCTGTCCCCCATAGCCCCCCATGACACCGTGTCCCCAGGTCCCATCGCACCCCAACCCCTCCCTGTCCCCCCATAGCCCCCCATGGACCAGGAGCCCCCCAGTCCCAACGCACCCCAACCCCTCCCTGTCCCCCATAGCCCCCCATGGACCCGGTCCTCCCCAAGGCCCCAGCACCCACCCCTCCCTCCCCCCATAACCCCCATGACCCAGAGCCCCCCAAGGCCCCGAGCACCCCAACCCCCCCCTCCCCCGTCCCCCCCATACCCCCCATGGACCCGGTGCACCCCAACCCCTCCCTGTCCCCCATAGCCCCCCATGGACCCGGCGCACCCCAACCCCTCCCTGTCCCCCCATGAACCAGGTGCACCCCAACCCCTCCCTGTCCCCCATAGCCCCCCGATGGACCCGGTGCACCCCAACCCCTCCCGTCCCCATAGCCCCCCATGGAACCGGTGCACCCAACCCCTCCCTGCCCCCCATAGCCCCCCAGGGACCCGGAGCCCCCCCCCGCCCGCGCTCCCTTCCCCCTCGGCTTCAGCTGCCCCCGCCTCAAGAGCCCCGTGCCCAGGAGGGGCTGGAGCCGCCGCATCAAGAGCTGGGCCCGGCGCCTGCGCCAGCCCCCCCCCGCCGGGAGCCCCCCCCGCGCAGGTACCGCCCCTCCCCCCCACCGGGAACACATTGGGGACCCCCCTTTGGGACCCCCCCCTTTGGGAACCCCTCATTGTGACCCCCTCATTGTGACCCTCCCTTTGGGACCCCCTCATTGTGACCCCCTCATTGTGACCCCCATTGTGAACCCCCCATTGGGACCCCCCCTTTGGGACCCCCTCATTGTCACCCGCCTCATTATGACCACCCCATTGTGACCCCCTCCATTGTGACCCCCCCATTGTGACCCGCTCACTGTGACCCCCACATTGTCACCCCCCCATTGTCACCCCCTCATTGTGACCCCCCCATTGTGACCCCCCATTGTGACCCCCTCATTGACCCCCTCATTGTGACACCCCCATTGTGACCCCTCCATTTTTACCCCCATTGTGACCCCCTCATTGTGACCCCCACTTTATGACACCCCCCCTGGACCATTTTGACCCCCCCATTGTCACCCCCCCTTATGAACCCCCCCATTGTAACCCCCATTGTAACCCCCCATTCGTGACCACCCATCAAAGACCCCCTTCTGACCCCCCATTGTAACCCCCCTTTGTGACCCCCCCATTCTAACCCCCCCATCAGAGACCCCTTTGTAACCCCCCCATTTGTGATCCCTCAGCAGACCCCCTTGTGACCCCCCCATTGCGACCCCCCCTCATTACACTCCCTTTGTGACCCCCATTTGTGACCCCCCTTTGTGACCCCCTGGACCCACAGAGGAGCAGCAGGATCTTGGGGACCACTCTGGGCCAGGTCATTGCCAGGTGGGTGTTTGGGGGGTGCATGATGGGGCCCTTCACCCCTTTACCCCCCATCACCCCTATACCCCCCCATCACCCCTATACCCTATCTTCCCTATATCCCCATCACCCCTATATCCCCCATCACCCCTATATCCCCATCACCCCTATATCCCCCATCACCCCTATACCCCCATCACCCCTATATCCCCCATCACCCCTATATCCCCTCTATCCCCCTATCCCCATACGTTGTCATTGGAGGGCTCGTCCTCGGTGCCCGCCTGGATGCCATAGGCCAGGAAGCAGAGGATGGCCCCGATCCAGAGCAGGATGGAGACCCCCATCACCCCCATCACCCCCATCACCCCATCACCCCTATATCCCCCATCACCCCTATATCCCCCATCACCCCTATATCCCCCATCACCCCTACCCCCATTCCCCCATCCCCCATCCCCCACCCCCCATCCCCCTCACCCTATACCCCCATCACCCACACCCCCATCACCCCTATCCCCATCACCCCCCCCCCAACACCCCCCCCCCACACCCACACCCCACCCCCCCCCCCCACACCCACACCCCCACACCCCCACCCCATTACCCCACCCCCCACATCCCCCCTCATCCCATCCCCCCCCCAGCCACCGCACCCCAACCGCCCCCCCCCAAAGCGAAGGCGAAATGGGGAGATCCCAGCTCCGAAAGCGAAAGCGGGGGGGGCACGGGGGGCACCCCCCACCCCCCCGGGGCCCCCCCGCGCCCCCCCGGGTCCCCCTCGTCCCCCATGAGCAGCGATGGGGACACGGACCCCGAGGACCGGGACCTGCGCCTGGAGCTGCGGCGCCTGCGGGAGAAGTGAGGAGGGGCAATGGGGACAATGGGGGGCAATGGGGGAATGGGGGTAATGGGGGGTAATGGGGCAATGGGGGGAATGGGGTAATGGGGTAATGGGGCAATGGGGGTAATGGGGGGAATGGGTAATGGGGGGAATGGGGGAATGGGGGGGAATGGGGTAATGGGGTAATGGGGCAATGGGGGACAATGGGGGGCAATGGGGTAATGGGGGGAATGGGGGTTATGGGGGTAATGGGGGGTAATGGGGGGTAATGGGGGACAATGGGGGGCAATGGGGGTTATGGGGGTAATGGGGGGTAATGGGGGCAATGGGGGACAATGGGGGACAATGGGGGGCAATGGGGGGCAATGGGGGGAATGGGGTAATGGGGCAATGGGGGCAACGGGGTAATGGGGACAATGGGGTAATGGGGGCAATGGGGGGAATGGGGGTAATGGGGGGCAATGGGGGGTAATGGGGGCAATGGGGGGCAATGGGGGTAATGGGGGTAATGGGGGTAATGGGGGCAATGGGGTGGAATGGGGGGTAATGGGGGTAATGTGGTGGAATGGGGGTAATGGGGGAATGGGGCAATGGGGGTAATGGGGGTAATGGGGGGTAATGGGGGGTAATGGGGGTAATGGGGTAATGAGGGGTAATGGGGTGGAATGGGGGGTAATGGGGGGTAATGGGGGTAATGGGGGGTAATGGGGTGAATGGGGTGAATGGGGCCCCACAGGCACATCCAGGAGGTGGTGGCGCTGCGGGCGCAGCAGGACCGGGAGCTGCGGGAGCTCCACGAGCGGCTCCGAGCCCTCAAGGAGGCGCGGGGGGGACCCCAGCAATGGGGGGGCCCCCCCGAGGGGGAGCACGGGGGAACCCCCCCCCAGCCCTGCCCCGGGGGGTCCCCGCGGCGGCTCCGGGGGGCAAAGGGAAGAGGAAGGGGCAGGGGGGGCACAGGTGGGGGAGGGGGGGAACGGGGGGGGGAGGGAAGGGAGGGGGTGGGGTGGAAATGGGGGGGTTGGGGGTGAAAAGGGGAGGGTTGGGGTGAAAATGGCGGTTTTGGGGTGGAAAAGGGGGGATTTGGGGTGGAAAAGGGGGTTTTGGGGTGAAAAAAGGGGGAATTTGGGGTGGAAAGGGGGGATTTGGGTGAAATAGGGGGGATTTGGGGTGGAAAGGGGTTTTGGGGTGAAAAGGGGGGACTTTGTGGTGAAAAGGGGGGATTTGGGTGAAAAGTGGGGATTTGGGTGAAAAGGGGGGTTTTGGGGTGGAAAGGGGGGTTTGGGGTGCGCCATGGTCTTGGAGAGTTTTTTTGGGGTGTAAAAGGGGTGATTTGGGGTGAAAAGGGGGGATTTGGGATGAAAAGGGAGGTTTTTGGGGTGTAAAGGGAAGGTTTGGGGGTACAGGGGTGGGTTTTGGGGTAGAAAAGGGGAAGATTTGGGGTGTAAAATGGGGATCTTGGGTGTAAAATGGGGTTTGGGGGTGCAACGGGGATTTGGGTTATAAAGGGGGGTATTTGGGTTATAAAAGGGATGATTTGGATTATAAAGGGGGGGATTTGGGTTATAAAGGGGGGTATTTGGGTTATAAAAGGGAAGATTTGGGTTATAACGAGAGAATTTGGGTTATAAAAGGGAAGATTTGTGTTATAAAGGGGAGGATTTGGGTTATAAAAGGGATGATTTGGGTTATAAAGGGATGATTTGGGTTATAAAAGGGATGTTTTGGGTTCTAAAAGGATGATTCGGGTTCTAAAGGGATGATTCGGGTGCAGACGGGCCTCGGGGCTCCCCATTAAACCCATTTCCCCCCCTCCACACCCCAAAGGCCCCCCCCCGACCCCCCCGGCCCCCCCCAAGCAGGGGCTGTTCACGGACGACCTGCGCCGCCTGGTGGACGAGTGGGTGCAGGACACGGCCCGGGGGCAGGTACGGACCCCCCATATAGGGGGGGACCCCAATATCTGACCTAGACCCCGCCCCCAACACCCCCATATGGGGGGACCCCAATATCTGACCTTAACCCCTCCCCCAACACCCCCATATAAGGGGGGACCCCAATGTCTGACCTTGACCCCTCCCCCATTATCCCCTAGGGGACCTCATCGTGGAGCACCCGAGGGCCCCCCCCGAAATGGGGAGGGGTCCCCCAGCCTCCCCCCAAAAGCAAGCTCCGGGGTGGGGGAGGGGGCGGCAGCCCCATCCCGCCGGGGGCTGAGTGAGGGGGAGCCCCAAAACTGCCTCTTTTTACCCCAAAACTCGCCTCGTTTCGTTTCAAACCCGCCTGAGTTTACCCCTAAAACCTCCTTATTTTACACCAAAATCCCCTCATTTTACCCCAAATCCCATTTCACACCAAAACCCTTCATTTACCACCAAAACTCTTCATTTTGCATGAAAATCCCTTCATTTCACCCCCAAATCCTCTCATTTCATTCCCAAATCCCCTCATTTTACCCCAAATCCCCTCATTTTACCCCAAACCCCCTCATTTCACACCAAAACCCTTCATTTTCCCCCAAAACTCCTCATTTTACACGAAAATCCCTTCATTTCACACCAGAATCCTCTCATTTCATCCCCAAACCCCTCATTTTACCCCCAAACCCTCATTTTACCCCAAAATCCCTTCATTTTACCTCAAAAATCATTTCACATCAAAACCCTTCAATTTTCCCCCAAACTCCTCATTTTACACCAAATCCTCCCATTTCATCCCCAAACCCCTCATTTTACCCAAACCCCCTTATTTTACCCCAAACCATCTTATTTTACCCCAAACTCCTCCCATTTTACCTCAATACCCTCCCATTTCACCCCCAAATCCCCTCATTTTACCCCAAATCTCATTTCACACCAAACCCCTTCATTTTACCTCCAAATCGCTCGTTTTACCCCCAAATCCCCTAATTTCACCCCAAAATCTCTCATTTCACCCCAAAACCTGTCATTTTACCTCAAAACCCTAATTTCACCCCCAAACCCCCTCATTTTACCCCAAACTCCCCCTATTTTACCTCAAAACCTTCTCATTTTACCCCAGAATCGCCTCATTTCACCCCAAAAACCCCTTGTTTTGACCCCCATTTTGTGACCCCCAATTTTCAGTCCCCAAATTGCCTCTTTTTGCCCCAAAATCCGCTTTTTGAGGGGGTTGGACCCCCCCCATCAGTAACCGCCAATTTTCAGCCCCAAAATCGCCTCATTTTGCCCCAAAACCCCCCTTTTTTGGAGCCATTCCCCCCTTTTCCTTCCCCCTCCCCCACAAACCCACTCTGTGGTCCCAAATCCCTCTTTTTCACCCCAAAACTCCCCCTTTTTGGGGCCTTTCCCCTCCAAACTCCCACTTTCCAGACCCAAATCCCCCTTTTTTCACCCCAAACCTCCCCTTGTTTGGGGCCCGGTCCTCATTTTACGCCTTTCTCCACAAAAACCTTCTCTTTGCAGACCCAAAATCTCCTCTTTTGACCTCAAAGTCCCCTCTTTTGGCCTTCCCTTGGCATGACCTCACTTTAAGCCCCAAATTTGCCTCATTTCACCCCAAAACCCCATTTTGCTGCCTAAGCCCCTTTGTTGCCCCCCCGTGACATAAACCCAATTTTTAACCTCAAACCAGCCTTATTTCACCCCCAAATCCCTGGTTTTCACCCCAAAAATACCCAGAGCCTCAAAACCATCATTTTTTACCACAAAACCACTGTTTTTTCACCCAAAACCGCTGTTTTTTCACCCAACCCCTCACCATAGGCCTGGGAGTCCCCGTGGCAACGGGGAACTGGGCAGACTGGTTTTACTGGTGCCCCATTCCCCCCTCCCCCCCTCATACTGGTCCCACCGCCCCTCCCCCCTCTTTACCCCTTTCCCCCATTTTGGGCCCATTTCACTGGGTTTTCCCACCATTTCCATCACCCTTTCAGCAGCCAGCGGCGTTTTGAGGTGAATTCCTGGGTTTCCTGGTCCTGAGGGGGTTGTTTAAAGTGTATTATTTTGGGGGGAAATGGTTATAAAGCGCGAAAACACCCCAAAATATAAAGAGTAAAGCGTGGTCAATATGGGGGGGTGCCACGCTCAAGATGGCGGCCGCGGAGCCACTCCCAAGATGGCGGCTCCCACAACGCAGCCACGCTCCCTCCCCAAGATGGCGGCGCGGAGCGGTCAAGATGGCGCCCCTGGCTCCGCCTTTTCCCTCCGGGCCCCCTCCTCCCCCTTCCCCGTTTCCGCGTTTGAATCCAACTTTCCCGGGCGGCCGGAGCCGGGCCCGAGCCGTGGCGGATGCGGCGGCACCGAGGCCTAGGCCGGGAACGGGAGGCGGTAACGGGGAGGCGGCGGTAGAGCAGCGCTGGGGCGGGGGAGAGGCCTCGGGCCTGCCCGCCTGCGGCCTAAGGCCTAAGGCGGGAGGTGGAGGCGCGCAGGCCTCGCTGGGCCCTGTGGGCCTCTGAGGCGGGGGAAGGACTCGGAGGGGCCTCAGAGCGGAGCCGCGGGCCCTATAGGCTCTATAGGGGGTTAAAAAGGGGGGAGAAGTCCCATTTAGGGGGGGTTAGCCCTTTGGGGGTGTCTATAGGGACCGCAGGGGCCCATAGACCCCGTGAGGGGTGTTCTAAGGCCCTACAGATTCGGGGGGGGGGGGTTGTGTCCTTAAAGGCCCTATAGGGAGCTTTAAGGGCCCCCCCCGAGAGGTTAAAGGGGGTCACCTATAGAAGGGGAAGGGGGGGGGTCATGTTCCGGGGTGGGGGGGTCCATAGGGGTCTATAGGGGGCTATAGGGGCCTGTGGGGGGGGCCATGGCCTCGGTGCCCGTGTACTGCCTGTGCCGCCTGCCCTACGATGTCACCCGCTTCATGATCGAGTGCGATGGGTGCCAGGACTGGTTCCATGGAAGGTGGGGATGGGGCATTGGGGGGGGGGTACTGGGAGGCACTGGGATGGATTGGGATGCACTGAAGGCACTGGGGGTGTTATGGGGAAGCACTGGGATGGATGGGGATGCACTGGGGTGGATTGGGATGCACTGAAGTCACTGGGAGGGGGTTATTGGGATGCACTGGGGTGGATTGGGATGCACTGGGATGGATTGGGATGCACTGAAGGCACTGGGGGGGTTATTGGGATGCACTGGGTTGGATTGGGATGCACTGAGGCACCGGGGGGGGGTTATTGGGACACTGGGGTGGATTGGGATGCACTGGGGTGGATTGGGATGCACTGAAGGCACTGGGAGGGGGTTATTGGGATGCACTGGGATGGATTGGGATGCACTGGGAAGGATTGGGATGCACTGAAGGCACTGGGAGGGGGTTATTGGGATGCACTGGGATGTAACAGCGTACACTGGGATGGATTGGGATGCACTGAAGGCACTGGGGGGGGCTATTGGGATGCACTGGAGTCATACTGGGATGCAGTGGGATGCATTTAGGAGCCATTGGGGGCTATTGGGATGTACTGGAGTCATACTGGGATGCATTTAGGACCTATTGGGATGCACTGGAGACGTACTGGGATGCAGTGGGATGCATTTAGGAGCCATTGGGGGCTATTGGGATGCACTGGAGTCATTGGGATGCACTGGGATATACTGGGATGCACTGGGGTGCTTTGGGATGCACTGGGGGGGGGGTGTTATTGGGGATGTGCTGGGATGGATTGGGATGCCCTGGTACGTACTGGGGCACTAGGGTGTTATTGGGATGCATTGGAATGTATTGGGATTCACTGTGAGGCACTGGGATGCATTGGGAAGCACTGGGGTGGGTATTGGGTTGCACTGGGGAAGCACTGGGATGCATTGGGATGTATTGGGAATCACTGGGGTGGGTATTGGGATGCACTGGGATGCACTGGGATGCACTGGGATGGTCCTGACCTGGTCCCTGCAGCTGCGTGGGGGTGGAGGAGGAGGCAGCGGCCGACATCGACCTTTACCATTGCCCCAAGTGCGAGGTCCTGCACGGCCCCTCCGTCAGTGAGTGCCTATGGGGGGGCTATGGGGTGGGGGGGGGTCCCCTGGGCTCCATTTCCCCTATAGGGCCGGGTCTGCGTCCTATAGGGCGCTATGGGGTCAGGTCTGAGCCATAGGGGACTGGGTGTGGGCCCTCTAGGGGTGTATGGGGCTATGGGGGCGGGTGGTCCGTGCCCAGTCCATATGGATCCGTCTGTGCTGGTTCCATATGGATCCATCCATCCCTGGTCCCCATGGTTCCATATGTGCCAGGTCCATATGGATCCATCTGTGCTGGTTCCATATGGATCCATCCATCCCTGGTCCCCATGGTTCCATATGTGCCAGGTCCATATGGATCCATCTGTGCTGGTTCCATATGGATCCATCCATCCCTGGTCCCCATGGTTCCATATGTGCTAGGTCCATATGGATCCATCTGCCCCTGGTCCATATGGATCCATCCATGCTGGATCCATCTGGATCCCCCCCTGCTCCCTATGGATCCCTCCCTGCTCCCTATGGATCCCTCCCTGCTCCCTATGGATCCCTCCCTGCTCCCTATGGATCCCCCCCTGCTCCCTATGGATCCCTCCCTGCTCCCTATGGATCCCTCCCTGCTCCCTATGGATCCCCCCCTGCTCCCTATGGATCCCAGG